CACGTTGATTTCCACGTGGGGTTTGACGGCTATTTCCATGATTTATCCAATATATTAGCCGCGTAACTGGAAGAGATGTTACATCTGTACTTTAGCGTCAGTTGTCCTGATCCTATTTTGTGGGTTAGAGTGACAGTTGCACATTTTCAGTCCACAGGCAACTCACTCTCTCTAAAGGACATCTTGAATAATGTAGTGCTTATGGTAGGAATATGTAATGCAATTTGTCTCAGGATTTCATGGCACAACTCATTCGGTCCTGTTGATCTTTTCGAGGTCAGAATAACTTATTATCTTCGGTGCATCTTTTTGACATGGGTCCTTAGTGAATAGCCCATTCAGTGACATTAATTCTGTCCCTTGTCACCTGTTAAGAGGAGACTCTTAGGTGAAGAATATCCCAGAGAAGTCAATCGTGGATTCTGCTCCGTCTTGGTTGTTGTCAATCGTTTGTGATTGACACACTTCTATAATTAAAGAGGGAACTAATTAATGCGTTTTTTCCCGCAAACTTATATACGAAAACAGTTGTTTCTGCTACTTAATTACGCGTTGTTTTCACTGAATTCCGCAATTCCGTTGAGGTGTGTTCATGGATTCATTTATTGTCGACTTTTGACACTCATTTCGCCCGGTGTTCGGAGACTGGTGGCAACATTCCGGCGTATTTGCTTTGGTGTTAGTGAGCGTTGAGTCATCTAATTTGTCCAGAGATGGGATGGTTTCGTTCACTCGGGACCGTACAGGGTATAAAATGCTATGTTACGTGGTTACACAAGTGCCGTAAGTGACTCTATGCATCGTCCTCTGATGAATCTCAATCAATTTTTCAGTCCCTACTCATGGTCACAGTTGATATCAGCCACTTCTGTTTTGCATATGTTAGAAAGGGCCTGTGTTTCTGCCTAAAAGAGCATAGCGACAATGGACTTGAACAAGAGGACCACATGATCACTTCTCCCTAGATGTGGAAGACATTGTGTTAGGTTGAAATCAATCCAGTAGGTGAGGAATAATTCCGTGGCATTGCAATTCTGTTGGTTATATATGGTAGGGTGTCCATCGAACTGGATTACAGCTTGATTGGTCGCGGTTTCTAGACAATTTTCATAAAATAATGTTTCTAGTGATCCGCCTATAGCTATCCAAAGGCAATTGACGCTTCAAGCCCACACAAAGGAGGGTGGTCGAATGTGAGGTCTGAAACACATCCCGTAGAAAACCCATTGAACCTAAACTGAACACAAAAGATTAGTTTCGGGAGAGGTGCTACTGTATTCTGGTCATGAAGAAGAAAATCCTCCGCACACACAGAAAGTTACTCTGATGCTATCCAAGGGAGTACATGATGCACCTATAGAATGGGTATGTCGTGGAACCAGGGTCATCAAAGCACCTTTCAAAACAAAGGAGGGAATCACAATGAATGTTATCCAAAGTTACTCACCCAAAAATGATAGCAACGATGACGACTGGGAGAAGGGGGCAAGATTAGTGACAGATTTTTACATTTACGTGCATTCAACAACATGGTTATAGGCGGTATAACATTCCCACACAAACGCATACACGAGTCTCAACGGATCACACTACACAAAACTAGATAGAGCATTATAGCTGACAAACGGAAATGCGTGGAAGACCTAGCAACGAAGGCGGATAAAGATGCAAGAGAAGGAAATATGAAACAACTATATGACACAACGAACGAACTTGTAGGGAAATATAGTAAACCAGACAGATTAGTCAAGGGCAAAAGAGGCGAGCGAATCACTGAGATTTCAAAACAGTGGAACAGATGGGTTGAACGCCTTGAAGAACTCTTAAATGTACCAGCCCCACTTGACCCACCGGGCATGGAAGGAGCACATGTAGATCTCCCCACAGATGTCACTGAACCACGATCGAGGAGATCAAGATGGTCGTCAGACAAATCAAGAGCGGGAAAGTAGCAGGATCTGAGAACATATCAGGTAAGGCGCTGAAGTCACACGTAGAAGCAACTTCAAACATGCTTCACGTTCTATTCGGGAAGATTTGGGGAGAGGAACAAGTGCCAACAAACTAGAAAGAAGGGAACCTCATCAACATACCATAGAAACAAGATCTGAACAAGTGTGAGAACCATAGAGGTATCACACTACTGTCAGTACCGGCAAAAGTTTTCAACAGTGTTATTAAACCGCACGGTAGATTCAGTAGATGTCCAACTTTGAGGTCAACAGGCCGGATTCCGTAGGAGTCGGTCGTGCAAAGACCAAAAAGCAACACTACGGATCATCGTTGAACGATCAACTGGATGGAACTCGTCACTATTCACCAACTTCCTTGAACATGAGAAAGCACTTGACAGTGCGAACATAAGAACCGTATGGAATCTTCTTCGACACTATAGCGAGCCTGGGGAGATCACCAATATCATCCGGAATTCATACGACGGACTGCACTGCAAAATCGTGCGTGGAGGAAAGCTTACCGATGCACTCCAAATGAGGGCCGGAGTCAGACTAGGTTAACCACCCATCACCCCTCCCCATTCCTTCTGGTGGTCGACTGGATTATGAAGACCTCCACATCTGAAGGAAAGCACGAGATTCAAAGGACCGCTTGCATGCAACTAGACGACTTGTTCTCCACTGATCACATAGCTCTTCTATCCCATACATACCAACAAACGCAGAGCAAGACAAACAGTGTAGCAGCAGTCTCCGCATCAGTAGGCCTCAACATATACAATGGAAAAGGCAAGATCCTCAAATACAACACAGAGAGCATCAGACCAATCACACTTGATGGGGAAACTCTGGATGAGGTGGAAACATTAATATAAGTAGATAGAATCATCGATGGACGTGGAGAATGTGATACAGACTTAGAGGCAATGATTAGCAAATCAAGGGCAGCATTCCTACAGTTGAAGGATATATGGAACTCAAAGCAGCTGTCTATCAACATCAAATTGGGCATCTTCAATACGAACGTCAGAACACTTCTACTGTACGGAGCAGGCATAAGTAAGCACCTCTAGAGTTTTCCAGCTCAAAGAAGATTTGCCGGAGATGTTTCCGAGTATTTCAACAATAATGACTATCACCAAAGATTTAAAAAATCTCAAGTTAGAACCGCTCCGAATCAGTCGCAATAATTTAAACCTTGTCTTTATCGATCGGTTTATAAATGGTATTTCCTACTGTTCGGCATCCATTCCTTCCCACTCTGTCATGTCATCCCACAACCAGCGCAATAATATGAGCATTCCGTCGATTCCGAGAATTCACACCAGGATTTCCTCGTTATTTAACGATGTGGAGCAGATTTTCAGTGGGCCTACTTTGTAGTGTAACCCAATTCAAAAGTCTCACTGATGACTCTCTCTGAAAGTGGTTTGCTTCACCTATTAAATATCAGTGTGATTACGATAATTTATGCGAACTAGATCCGGCATCTACTTAATTGAATGTAAAACAAAGTAGGACATTCGACATTTTATTTATTTGCTTAATTTTTTTCATGTGAATATCCAAAGCCCGTTTACGTCCATGTTTACTACCATTATTATTATGACTGATCCCCTGACACATTTGATAGTGTTTCTCTTCTCTCTTTTCATCCCGAAAAACTTTTAGTCTAACCCATCCAGAGTTTATAACTAGAAAAACAAAATCCTGCTTAACAATTACTTAAATGAATTGACTTTTCAGTGTCATTTTATCTTCACCATGTATACATGACACACGCAGATTGATATTTGACTATCATTCTTCGCAATCAAATAAGACCTTTATTGAATCATTCGAAACTATTACTGCATAAACTTTTATCCCACCATCAAATGTTGCCAGGTCAACGATTTATCGTTTAATTAATTTCATAATACATATACTGTTGTTTATTTTTGTTCTTTTTCACAATCATACTTATTTACACACTTCACTTTTATTTCCTTCCTTTTTCTGCAATCAATTTAATATTCTTCCAAATACTGCAGAACCTGTCTAAATATGACGAATAGTATGTAAACATGATTGAGACATGTGTAAGATTACATTTCTGAAGAAGCCTGAAACGGTGTCTTCACAACACTTATGTACCAATAAGCTGATTGTGAATAATAATAATAACACTGACGCATGCAATAGTTGGCGCTATCAAGCGCTAGTTAGAACAAAACTTGAACTGGGATATACGTCGGTTGACATTCACCGTAAAAGTATATTTTAATGACCATCTTTAACAGATTGCCAGCTAATAAGGGAATAGCGCTTAGTGACAAAAAAGGTCAATAACGAAAGCAAACTTACAGTTGATTTACGGTTTCGAGATAATCAATGAACTCTCACGTGTTAAATTATTGGTCGTAGTAAGAAAAGTGGTTAAATTTAAATAGTGTGAGATGGGCTAGCGTTGTGATCTGGGGCTACAAACTTATAAGGTTTTCATCACCAGCTGACATAAACTACAATACATGAAAGGACTAACGTGATCATATATGGTAAGGCGCCCAGGCGTAACAATTAATTAAATCAAGCGAGCCGGTCAATGACCTGCTTGCGAAAGCAAGGCTAAGGCGTACACAGGATAGTATTAGAGAACAAACCTACACAACTAAACCATAGGATTGCTGAACTGTAGCCGTGAAGTGGTAATGGAACACTATGACAACAAGCTTGAAGTTGAGCTACTTTATTGATGACAGAAATGAAGCGTAACACTGGCAGGATCAAAGATGAAGTGGGTTAATATTCGCATCATAACGGCATTGAACGCCCGAAGAGAAGTATTCTAACAAACACTCCAACAGCGAGAATTCAAAACTAATGACGGTGGGATTTATAAAATGGCATTAATTTAAACACTAAATGTCGGGATGTCAGGTGAAAATTGGACGTAACTGACTCAATGTTGAAATTGCTGAAGAATTCACAACATTATCTAAGGCAGAAATATTTGTTCACAGTAATAAATTGTAATACGCTCTTGTGTTAAAGAAGCAAGTTATCAGAAAGCTAAAGATTTTATTGTTAAAATAAACGCTCATACCAACTTCACTCAGTGTAAATATGATGATAATGATCACAATTATCAACAAGTCATTTGGCAAATAGGTTCTGGAACAGATTTGGAAGTACGCAATCTGCGCATATACAGTAGGTAAAGTTTGTTGTACACGATTTTTGAAATTACAAAAGCATTTCACGAAGTAGTTTTATGCACATGTGATACAATAATCATATGTAATATTACTGAACCAAAGTATTTAAATAAGTTTCCATGCAAGAAATATTCACATGAAAAAAAGGATTTCAAACTTATTCTACAACAGTGTACATTTACTATTGGACAATGGAAAATACAAATGAGTCAGTATTCACAAACTTCTGAATACATACACAAAATTTTAGCGAATAAAATGGATAGGCAAAGATTTCAGTAGGTTCTTCAAGAATTAAACAACGATATCAGTTGCCTTATTTGTTACTGTAACTTGCTTACACGATTGAGGAATCCAACTAGTCGAATCCTTTAGATCACCATTAACCATAGGTTCAGTAGTTAGTCTAGAAAATTCATTTGATAGTTTACTTCCATGATCCGTGTTGAGTTCCGATAATTGATCCTTGTCATTCGGCGTAAGGAACACACCAGATATAGCTGATGAATTAGCTGCTTCAATCATATTCTGACGTAATATATCTATTTGTGAGGTTGTTAGAAATGCATTTGCCATTGGAAAATATTCGTTGCAAGCACAACGATACTTTTCTATGACAGATGGGTCACAACGACCCAGTAACGTCCACTGACCTCTACGCAAAATATCTAGACACGTGCGGCATTCCTAAAAAAAGCAGGATGCGTATATCATTACTTTTACTACGAAGAAAATATCATTAAAAACGGTTGAAAGGTATAATATTACTTACATGAAAAATAAGATATGGACTAAATACAAAAAGAAAAACCATCTAAAAGAGTTTATATAAACACAATTAAAGTAATATTAGTACTTATGTGGTGCAGCGTGAGTAGTCTGCCTCTTACATCCAACAGTTAGGTTTCAACTGCTCATCCATATGTCGTTTGTTTGTTGGAGTAGAACTAAAAGTATCATATTTGAACCCAAGGGCGAAGTCGTACTGCTGACTATAGAGGGGTGTGATAGTAGTAGAATTTTTCCTTCTGACAGCCAGCATCTGTAGCTATACTGCCTTCTGATAAAAGGATGGTGTTTTAAAAATGGGAGAACACAAAAATGTCACACCTTACCCTATGCATTACCGTCTTCAACGGTAAGGCCTTTTTGAATTGCGGGGCTGACACGTCAAAAACTCCACATAAAAAAGCTGTAAGTGACCGGCCTCGAGTAGTTATCTCTTGGCCACTAAAGTCACACTCCCAGGTCACCAGGACCACTACTAACTTAGTTTCCTTTCAGGTCCCTTAAGAAATCATCTATGTACACTCTTAAATACCTAGCACTATAATAAACGGCTTAGTATTGTTTGTTTGAATCTGCCGATTGATTGATCAATTGCAGTCTTAATCAATGGAAAGGTTCAAATAAACAATACCAAGTGAATGTAAACTTTCCCACATTACAAAAGCAAGTGGTTATCAGGACTCAGTAGCTAAGTGGATAACGCGATGGCGTTTGAAGTGAACTGTAAAGGACTCGCGTCCTGGAGTGAACATCAACTCTGGGATGTAGGTACATCAGCTGACGAGTCTCAAGTAGGACGAAACGTACCTCCTGGATTCCACTGCTAGCCACCATCCATCTTTGGCTATATTAAGTGGTTGAGAAAGAAATTTGTAAGTTCACCATTCTTGCTTTTTTATTTTTGTCGAAGTCAATCACTTGAAGTCAAAATTAGTAACGAAGATTTTTAATAGGTGCATTACGAGAACAACTTAGTTCATTTACAGCTATTTTTAGTGTCCGAACAATTTTTAGATACTTCCATTGAAAAGTCGAGAATCGTAAGGAAAGAAACAAATGTTTAGTCAACTACAGTTTTTTGTATGTATTAGAACCGACTTTTTTCCACCATATCATTATTGGTCCTACAGATAAGCATCAAAATTGCATGGAAATAAAAGGTTTATCGTTTCAGGAGTTAGTAGCACTGTAGTTATATCAGTCGGAAGGACAGAAAACACCCTAATTTAGGGATGATGCATCAAGACGAAAACTTATCCTACAAACGCTGTTTGAAATAGATAGGAACCACAAAATTGATGCAAAAGATAATGCGATTTCAATAGAAGTGATTAAGCTATTTATTCGATAAAAAGACAAAACAGATCCATATGGATGAAACGACACCATTCAAAACATAGTGTCTCGCCGGTAGTAAAAAGGATTAAATCAAAGTGCGAAACCCAACACTTACTTGCCATGTAACACCTTTAAAGTTATCATTTGGTAATGGAATCTTACTAAGATAATTATCTCTATGTTGTGGGTCAATCAGACATTGACATAACGTATCTGGAAAAATAATAAAAATAGCAAAAACAGAAGATAAAAGAGAGACAATAAAGAAATAATGATTACCAGAAAAATGGAAATAGAAACATGTGAAATTAAAAAGAAATCCAAGTGATATAGTCCTAATAAGATATATTAAAATAATCAAGAGAGAACTTAATAACATACATTACAATGTATTGTTGTCAACAGGATACCTGTCTTTTTACCATTTTAGTCACTGGATGAACATATCTTTTAAAACATAAACGAGCTCAACAGACCAACGATTTATGCGAAATGAGTGTGTTTTTCATAATTCTGAAGACTGACTTCACTTCGTAAATATGTAATATTCTTTAATCGCTAACGGTATGGTTGAAATATAAAATATCGTTTTTCTTAAAAACAAATAACATATCCAGGTTTTAATTTATTTGGCTACTCAAATATTGTGAATTTATCATTCCGGGGATGATAAAGCTGTACCTGTTACTGCCTTCATCTATTATCATCTAATGTTAAAAAACGAAGATAAGGAAACGATAAGTTAATAAAATCTTATGAGCATGTACATCATATAGCAAACTGCTTTCAAGAAAAACATTTGTATCCAAAAGATTGGAATATTTCAGGTACAATAACTTAAAAAAAATGCTGATACTGCTACTAGTATGGTTATTATTAGTGATCATGGTAAACCTGTTGCTTGATACTTATTACAACGGAACAAGACCAATATGCCTATCGCAGAGAAGGCACGATTGTCAGTCAGTTATAGTCGTACGCAACGTAGAATCTAACGCATATGTGCATTGGCCCAATTTACCGTACTACATTAACACAGCGAGATAAGATTAATCTAAGATAAATTTCAGAGTAGTAAAAGTATCACTAACAAAGGAAAAGATTCGAAATAGAAAAATAAGGTATAAGATTTCAGGACTGAGTTTCTGGAGTAGAACAAGGGGTGAATAGATTTACCATTCTTATCTGGTGTCCATATACATAAACTCATCATTTCTTGCTCTGTGGTCCTAAAATATACGAGCGATGCTTTGAAAATACCTATAGTCAAATGCTAGTAACCTACGAATATCCTCTATTCTTAATGGTCATATTTCACAACTATGAAGTCGAAAGAGACGAACTGATGCGTGGTATATACGCCACAAGTGACTCAAGTTGGCAAAAGCCAATAAAACTTTCTTCAGAAGCCAGCCCATTATGGCTGGTGAAACTCCCTCAAGATAGAGCAACACAGTGAATAAAAAATTATTTATTTACTAACTGAATACATTACTGAATAAAACATAAGAAATTATCATGAAATATAAATATGTCCTTTCAAATATCCAGTAAGTGCAATAAACTGAGTAGTTGACAATAGTTGATACAAATCAAGAGACTTGTGTGGCACATATGAATTCGGTGCCTCCTTGTACCAGTATTTATGTGCTCAAATAAATAAATAAATTGACATTGACCGATCAGTGACTATAGATACATTAAGTAGTCAGCAAGCATGGCAGGAACGTTAGTGCAATTTTAAAAATTATTCCAAAAAAAGTAGCTATCACTATGCTCGAACCGCTGATATGAATAGTTATTCTACAAATTTCAGTAAACCGAACCGAGGAAACTCAACTAGTATATCAGTAGTGAAGTGAAGGGATGAGATAATAGATGGTTCAGTAGCTATTTTCTGGTACGAGCAGTAAATTTACAAATAACTGACTTACAAAAAAGTGAAACCATACAGTCGATACATTTTAATACGTTCTAGGTGAGGAAGTAAAAATAAAACTAGTTATAAAATCACGTCATACGTATTACGTATCCAATGTTGTAAAGGATAAAAAGACATGTATGTGGTGTCTGCTACTTATGTCGACCGACATAAGTAATATGTAACACCAATTGGAAGTGGGAAATCTGGTAGCAGAAGACTAAGATTGAGTTGAAGAGAATAGAAAAGAAAATATAAAGGGATTGTGAACTGGAAGAACGATACAAAATGTGAAGGAAAAAATGATGGAAATTAGCAAATGAAGTATTTAGTGTATGATTTTCATATTTTACCAAGAGATTCTGTAATTTTGTATCCATATATAATTGACTACCCCACCTGTGTTCTCGTTTATTATATGTGTACATTAAAAATTTCCAAGATGTGTTTGTAAGTGTTTGAATAGAATAAAACTCTATAGAATGTATTACTCGACAGAAAAACGCTTGGCAAAACAACGCTACCAGTACCATTCAACTCTTTGATATCTCACTGTATTAAGTATGACTGTTTTAAATATTTTGAAGGAATGGGTTCCAAAACAAAATTTTACTAAGTTGAAGAGACGAGATGCGATTGAAGTGCAAAAAACGTAAACACAGTGTTTAAAATACTTGGAACAACTCCCTTCGAAAAAAAATGAATAAAAATCAGGCAACTAACCATGATGATTATATGACATACATGTTATATATATAATCGACAGCTGAAGAGTCGGTCATTTAGTAGCATACAAATGATATCAAATAGACTGTTTAATACACTGAGATTTTTCTTTTTTTTACCAGCACACTGAAATGTTGGGTAGTTGTTAAACATTTCAACACAAAAGAATTGATGTGAAGATATATAAAACATTTTAGTCTTTTTTGACCTGTGCGTTAAAGGCTATAGTTGCAACTATTAACTTAAGAATTTGACTACTGATGTTCAATAAGATGAAACTAGCCTTGGTAATTTCTTTTTAAGTTCAGAAACCATTCTCAATTGTATTCAATTAATTTTTCATAATTACTTAAATAGTACATTCATTGACTACCTCGGTAAAAATTGGTCCTGTCCACTTTTTGACTACCTCCTAACGGTACAGGTATGTAGCACTATGTTTATAAGTCTGTGACCAAGATCAACATTATTGCAGTTTTTTAGATAAGAAAATCATTGACTATTGAATTTCGGATTAATGATCGAATGAAATCAAACTTCTCTGCGAAACTTGAAGGCCTTAGGTTTATTATATACACAGCTGTGGATATCCAGTGCTGAAAAATACAAACTAGAGCAAAATAACCGGTTTTCCAATCAATGTTAGTTTACGACAAAAATCCTCAAAAAAACATCAACGCTTACATCTGAATACATGAGGATATGTGTCCTGATTACGGTGATTAAATCTTTTATTATATTCTTGAACAAATGAAATATTTTCTGGCCACTCGCTGAATAACTTAGGGACTTCGGATGTAAGAACTTTGCCAACTATATCATCTGATTTTCCACGACTGTGTAGCTGGAGAAGAAATCTCACACAGCACTCATGAAACCAAGGATTGTCACGTGAATTTGTAAGTTGCACACCACGAGAAATCCATTTGAGCATGAGGAGAAATTTTCCTGTTAAAAATGAAAACAAAACGTAAGTTCATAATTTCAAAACTAAAGGTCATATACTGCTACTGCGTGCTACCGCAGTTCAACTAAATAAAGTGATTAGGAATAGAAATTCATTTGTTAAAGAATACATTATCAATAAATTAGTCATAATCAACGTAGAGATTGGCACAGATGAGCGTTATCTCAAAAATGCCATAACACATTAGTACGATGAAATAAAGTTAACATGATGAACGCTGAAATAGTTAAAATAATTCTAGTAGTAACTATGATGAGGAACATTGTTCGAAAAGACATGAAAAGGCATGTATGTAGAAATACTAGAACTTAAGATAAATAGTGAATAGATCTAAGCCAGTGTGACCAAATCCAATCCATTTCATCAAATGTTTCCAACCACTGGTCACTTACCACGCAGGTCCCAACCAGGTAGTCTGAACGTAGCAACACGGTTCAATTCAACAGCCAATGATTTCATAGAATGAGCCCACGTTTTGGATTATCAGTCTCTAGCTTTCTTGCAACCTACTCATACACCAGCCCTCATCATGCGTCGGCATAGGTAAAATACGTCTCAACTGCCTCAGTTGGTGGACTCACAACCCCATTAACCGACTTGTATTCCTTACCTAATATCCCGCACCTAACTTTCGAAAGACTCGCTCAGTTGTTCCATCACACGCGAATAATATTTGGAAGACATGTATGATCAAAAACAAGAACCTATGTATACCTTTCATAGAGTAAAATCGATGTTTGGGTAGTATGTTCATCCTTTTATTGATACACGAAGATCTCACCTACACCACAAGTGATGCAAATTGATAAAGACCAAACGAGCTTTCTAACTCTGTGCTGAAATTTAGACACCAACGCATTGGGGTTAATGAGACTTCTAAGATAACTGAAGTGGCCAGTGCACTCAACTACTTCACTCCTTATGATCACGTTAACAAAAATACACTGAAGATATGTAAATGATTTTAGTATTTAATGGTAACATACAAGAGTAACATTAGGCTCCTTGATATTTCATAACTAAACAACTAAGCATGGTTTTGATAAGTTTGATGCGAATGTTCGTAGGATTCTCCACATAATATAGCATGTCAAAATGATAGATTGTAGAGCATTTAGTAAATTTTAAACAGAAAAATGACTATTTAAATTCTCACTTACGCTTTCTCTCATAAACTTCAAAGGCCAAACAATAAGCCTCAATAATTTTAGGAGACAAATCCAACAAAGGGAGAAGAAATTTGGATGCCTCTTCAAGTGGATCCTCAGGCTATTTTATTGGGAGAAAAAATAACATTAAAAAATTTGAAATCAAAAACAGTTAGCAATTGTTAAGTTACATGAACTTGAGTCAAAATGTGACCAATAGTTTCGTAAACAATGAAGAACAATCAGACGTAAACTACATTTGGGAGAATGTAACCAATTTTTAATTTGTGCATTTATAGTCAGCTGGATGCCTTATATAATATATACACAAAAATTCTTTAAAGAGCTTCATATTTATGTATGTGACTATATCTTCAGAAAAAGACTTACTGATAAATCGGAGCTGTAAATCTCTGGCATCAAATAGTTCGGAAACGAAAACGGGTGACCATGGATAACACAAAATGATGACCATGACAAATTACAGTTCATCTGCAGTCGGAAAACATGAACTATGGAGGCCTAACTCAAAATATAGATGTTATCGTAGTCAAAATCGGGTATGGATGTACTTGATTTGATTCTGCATAGATTTGAAAGCATGGACAACTGAAGACTCGAAATATGGTAAATATTTCTAGTGTCCCTCTGGTTTTCAATTGTTATCCAATGGTAAACAGACTTAAGATTGACCACTTTTATACAGAGTTTATTAAACTGAAAAAGGCATTAACTAACAAAAACTCACGTTGAATGTTAAGACAAGTTGCTTAAAAATCTTAAAGTATTTGGGATAGTTAATTATAGTTAATATCAGTCACACTGTCATTTCATGAGGCGAAAAAACGGAGGCAAGTGTGGCAGTTTATTGGTGAAAAACGGGAAAGAAACATAAATTGGCCATTTACGTACGCTAGCAAGTGATAGTACAGTTTAATCAGACAATATTTTGTGATTTGAATAGTAGATTAAATAAAAAATGAACAAAAGAACGACGGAATTACTTTTAATGTGTAACTTTAAAATATAGATATCCTTTTTAAAGAGACTGCCATCAGTATTTACAAGCATGGTAAAATCTGACGCCAGAATTATAAGTCAAGAAACTTTCCAGTCAAGGATGAGACTAAGGTTTCCAATTTTATATAAGACTATTATTAAAAACAACAAATGTGTCAATCTACAAGCTAAAAATTCCGAAACAGAATTTATGGGTTATTTCATAAGGCAAGCAATCTGTAAGTCAAGGTTGAGTATTGTCGCTAAAATGTAAATCCCATTTAATACAAAACAACTGACAAATACTTACTCTGGCCAGTAGATTAGCATCTAGGTCGTTTTCTCCCATGGATGGGTTATCTGCATTTGCTTCTTCGGATGCAGGCTGTCTTGAACGAGCTGCTTGTTCTCGACGTTCTTGTTCAGCTCGAGCCCGAGCAGCTTCCGCTTCCGCACGCTTAGCAGCTTTCCGTTGTTTATTTCGTAGCTTTTTAGCTTCAGATGAAGACATACCGTCTATTTTTACATTTACAAAATGATAAGACAATAACTGCGTGTCAATTTTATATGAAGTCAATTACATTCAGGAAATAAACTAAACTTACTTAAATACCGAACAACCTTTTATAGTTTTATAGACACTTGTTTAAACTTGAGAAATGAGTGAAAAACATCCCAACGTTGATCTGAAATATTATTTACAGATAACAATCTAAACTAATAAAGGGTTGGTTGATTTATTTCAACTGAATGTAAAATTCCATGCACTTGGTTTCCTTTATTTGAATAAAAAAAACCAGTTAGATGTACCCAAACGGATCAACAAGCTCAATATATTCGCTATATGATGAGATAATAGAAAACGAGTCTCGAAGAGCTGAGCACTTGTGATACAAACTATGTACAAATTTTTCGTGAATAGTCAAAAGATATATCTCATCATCAGAATTTCTCACGAGAAACTGATTTCAAGAAAGTAGGATAACTAAAAACATAAGTACTACTGAAAAAGGGAGGAAATCATTTACATATGTTCATGTAGCAAGCAGTTCACTACGACTGGAGAACCCCACAAGCGAAAATTTCAATCCCGGAAATAAAGTGACAACGTTGAGAAAGAAGAGGAGTAAGTTTGCACAAATCTTACAGGATACAACTAAAATGAAAATGTAACCTGAGTAGATCTCGTACGCAAATCTTGGAGTAAGATTTTTGGCTTAAAGTTACCTTAACGGAATAAACGAACAACCCAGTTCCCCACATCACACTAACTACTTTTGAGATTAAAATATGCATGAGAACCATTGGGCCAGCAAGTCAATCAATTTTATTGATAGTAGACTTCAATTAAAGGTGTAAGGAACCTGAAGTCATTCCACTGTTTGAGTAAAAACTTATACAACTTGTAAGCTACGGAGTAAAATACTAAGAAAATTGACAAAAAATAAAGTATCGTTTAACTTCCAATACATAAAAATAAAAGAATTTACTTTTTAGACAATATTTTACAAATAAGACACATTGGTCGGGATCATGATTATTTCCGTCGACCTGATCAACTATGTAATTTTTTCAGTACAAAAAACAATTATATGATAAACTGCATTAGATGTTTAGATGAGGATTGATGCGCTTGACCAGTCTGGCATAGCCGAATGGTAAGTTAGAGGTGCTGATTGGCGTACACTACTGGTGAAGATCTGGCTTCAATTTCCAAGGAAATGAACAAATTAAGGGTTGAAAATGTGGTCGTTTTTCCTGAGGGATATATTTATCTATACTTACGAATGAGTTGTGCATATATTCTCTATTTGGTTGACCAATAAAATCTTCCTACTTACTCTTGGTTTTCCTATTCAGGTAGCTAGTACGGGTAAGTATACAAGAAGCATATATACCAGTATCAAACTCCGAAAACCGCAAAACGTAGTGTTTACCAGATACAGGAATGGAACTCGAACTGACGCGGGGAAATTCTAACCGTTGGTAACTAGAATATTGCAGAAACATGTCATCAATTTGTCTGACCGAGAAATGCTCCTAAAAAGTGTGTACAATGTTTGTGTCTTATAGACAGTTGAAAGGACTTGAGCTAAGATTGCTAACAAGTACAACATACAAAACTCGTTTGTAAAAAAAGACCGACATTCGAAACAACAAATCAAGAGTTCTAACCATTTTCGCCGTGAGGAGATTCATCAATACTGTCCAATGGTTGAGAATACAGTTGCAAGTAAATCTAGAAGGGAAATCGAAAGTTGATAGAAGTGAAACTATAATGTAAGCAAGAGAATTGATATTGAGATAGACGTTTACTAGAAGCAAATAAAAATAAATCAGTTGGATCGAGAGAAATCTGTCAAATTAAGAACATACTTTACGACCGTTCATCGCTTTACTATAAGATAGTTATTGCAAGCGTAAAAGCTCTGTGAATGTGCATGGGAAGAGGCCGCTGACTGAGTGAATTTGAAGTTGGGTGCCACTTTTAAACAATTTGTGAACCAGCACTCTCTGGAGCAAATGAACCATATTTTATACACAATTTTATTGCCTGACATGTGATATTGGTTTGATGAGAATTACCTTTGACAGAAACCGGGTACGAGTGCATTTATTTACAAGGCTACTGAAAACTAGAGTCGTACATGGAGATGTAAACTTCTTGCATGATGTTATCAATATAGAAATAACTGGCTGCAAACCTTGTCAGAAATTGTTCTAAACAGTTCATAACGACGAAAATTTTTTTGATCAGAATCTCAGTACTATTAGTTGACTGACATTTTTTGACTAGTTCATTTCTCACTCCCATTGTCTTATTTTAGGGTCGACCTTTTATAACCCCTTCATTTTTTTTATGAGGTAGCACGGTTAGAGACGGTTATTTGTGCAAAACCTCATATCGTAATCACACCACAGTATAGTTAGCAGCACAACTCTGGCGTCGAACTTAAGATTATCTGTTTTCAGTTGCATTATCATCCAACCGACCACACTGCAATGGGAAATCTCTAGGAACAATTGTTTCAAACAATGTAGCTTGATTGAGTAGTCACGATAGGCAACCCCGACCGTTAAATTAATGTAACAGCTACGGCCGACTTCTTTGCTATTCATCTCGTGGTGTTGATCTGATATGGGGACAACCCTAATTCCCCTAAGGCTCTATGTTGCGTATAACTGACTGAATTCAATAGAAATATTAAAATTATTTTGAAACGTCATATGATATGATGCCTAAGAAATAGGTCTGACAGACAGGTCTCAATTGTTTGAAAACCGAGTGACCCATGAGCTAATTTCATCCAATCGCATATAAAATGTTTTTTTTTGTTTATATTCTTTAGGTAAGCATGTTATTTAATCTATTTTTCTGGGCTGATGGTAATCTCTGATTCCAAACTATTCGAGGGTTTATATCAATAATGTAGTCTTGTGAGTAGCCATCACTTGGATACATCAAATCAGTGAGTTCATCTTTTGACTAGAGTTCTGTTCATTGATTTTAACGACCGAAAACTTGATATCATCAATCATTGAAAACCTCCTCTATAACACTATGTTAATGAGCAAACCATAGTTGAAGACTAATAATGCAGCAATTGTATTGAGATTATTTTATTATAACTAGAATTAACAAAATGAATATAGCTATGCAAAATAGCAGATAAACGCCACAAAAGCCAACTTTAGCTGGATGAAATCCCGAAACAAAACTTGTTAACTCCATATTAGACATACTGATTCAAAAACACTACAGATGATTTATAAATTATACATGTGAATAATATATACATGTAAATTATATATGCAATAGCTAAAAATAAAACACCTACAAGTAGTGGACTAACAGATACTGTAAGTATTATCTACACATCGAAAGTGAGACAACTTTCGGGAAAGCTTAAAGAACAGACACTTTAGACTCACTTCAACTGCAAGTTGAGCGGTATCAAAATAAGACTGATGATCCCGTAAACGATCTTCTAATCGCAGTGTCTCAACATATGATCGTAGCGTAACCTTCCGCAGACAGTAGGAATGGAAGTCTAACTGATCATCAAGAATATTTCTGTAGTGCTACCAGTTATTGATGATTTCATATGTAACAATCGAATAAATATAGGCAAAAGTCAGTCAAGATAAGTATACATCAACAAATTAAATTAAAAAATAGCATGAAATACTAATTTTTCGAAAGGGCTAGCTACATCCTAAAATTTTGAGACTTTACATCTTAAGTAGACAATAATTCTTGTTTAAATAATCGTAGAGAAACATAAAGAAATAGTAGTCTATTCAGTCATTCACTACTATGGAAACAATATCATCAATATATTTATTAATTCACAATTCCTGAGCCGCCATGTTTTTTTATTTTGGTAATGAAACAGAAATAATCAATACGTGCTATTATTTCTAAGACACATGTGCAAGCACAATTCAGTAGTTTTTAACACAATCTTTGATACGTTGAACTTACAGTTGTCAGATATATCATTAAATGATGGCAGAAAAACTTAGAGAAATTCCAGATGAAAGCCATGGTATTCATCGATAGAGAAAGATGTGGTGCTGACTTCTTAGACATTTTGTATTGACATGGAGTTTTAAGGATTTCACACACTACATACATACATATTTTGAAGCAAATGACGATAAGATTCATTTACTACGATCAAAAATCAAAATAAAAAAGTGGGTAAATTAAGGCTACTTATCATTCGCCTAGTAGACTTCCAACAGCCTGCAAAAGACGATTTTGTGAACAAGGCTTTATAGTTCATCTATATATTCGAGCAATTTATTTGAATGGGTAAAGTTTTGGTGATGACAATCGATTATATTTTAATCGTCTCTAGCAAATGAAATTAAACTAGGCTTTAAACCTTATATCTATCCACTTCCAAAACGCCTGAAATCTTGCCACCAAAAAACCTTTATTTATGTTTACTTATGGATACGCACTTAGTAACCGTCGTACGAATTACCTGAACTTTGTGATTTTGCCTTTACTAGTAGTTTAACTCTAGAGAGTAGCATTTCAACACTTTTGAGACGTCTTGAAACTTAAGTACAGACATCAAATCCATAATACGGAATTGTCACGGGGGAAATTGATGTCTGACAGAAAAGTATCTTTTTGGATTGGTATATATAACTATTATATATACTACTATAATATTATGTCTTTGAAAGTGCTTCTAGTTTGATTCATGGGAATTTTTAGATAAATCGACACATTATATGATTGTAAACAGAGGAATCTTGAATGATCATACTATTGAGACAAGCACTGCACATTTAAATATGCATAGAATATTTTAATTTGTATAACTTAAATCTTTACCCGGTTCAAACATTTGTCTTCAATGCGAAGTGGTTGTTTAAGTAAGAGATTACTTTTAGTTCACGCACGGTTGAAAATTTGTTATCAATACACTAGTCGACTAATGAATTTCGCAATTTTGAGCAATTCGGAATACCATTTGGTTTAATGTGAATCAGAATAAAATAATTGGCGAATTCTTGATAGTAAGAGTTCGTTATCAACAATGGAATATTTTCATTGATTTTTGAGCACAACATGTATTCACATATAGGGAAGTTTAAATCTCACCCCAATTTCGTTATGGAAGTCCAGTAGTGATAAAAGCATTTAAACGGAAGTGCAATTAAAAATCAAATGTGCGTTGTAAAGAATCCTGAAACTTAGTTTAATTCAACTCGATAGGCAAGTAGGGATTTGTCCATCAAGGTTAAACCATTTAGATGATAACGAGTTTTACCAGATACATGGTTTATGACTAAATATACAAATCTAAGTGACCATTAATTTACACTGTGAACACATTTACCCACGCTAGCCTATGAGTTTCAGCAACTGTTAACTACACTTTATCGAACAATTTAATGCACCTAAATGACTTCATATGTAGTTCTTTGAGTATTTTCTCTAGTTCGCACAAAGACATAGACTACATTACTTTCAAAATATTGTTTATGTAAAAACATAACCAATCACTTACTTGCTGCACTTCGTGACACAACTTAAGGGCATCACCAAATCTGCCCATTTCTTTAAGTGCTCTGGCATTATCTAACAGAAACCACATGCACTGCATCTCAGACAAGTATTCCTTTGGCGATGTGTTTCCCTATATTACAAATAAATAAGTTATAACAATATTACCCTTGTAAATTTAGAAGCCATGTTAGTGGCATCTTCAAGGCGATGAGCTTCCACCATGAATTTTGTACAGCGAGCATTAATAAAACGATCAGCTGTATCTAGAGATTGGGCCTCTTCCATCCACCGACTGGCTGTTATATAGTCCCCTGCATCATGAAAGACATCGGCTTTTAGGACATAAAAGTCAACTAACGTAGGTGTTGAGAGCAACTGAGAATCTATGATTTCAATGGCTTCCTGAAAAGTGAAATAATATTATTCACGAATTGTACCTGATATTTTCTTTTGAAGTTATAATACTGAGCTAGTAAATAGTTAAGCCAAACATCTGTTGTGGGAGCTTCTTTTTCATTACTTTCCTGTGCATCAAGGGATCCGATGGCACTCATGCTGTTACGATATTTAGTTAAAAGACTTTCAAAAGCTGAAAGCTTTTCAGAGTTATTTAAAAGCCCCACAAGTTGTATAAAAAGTGGAGGAACACCTTTTCTGATGTATGGCTTTAGGTAAGCATCCAAACGCTGGAGAAACTCGTCACCTGCAACAAAATGTATACATTTATCAAATCAAACCTGAACAATAATTCAGAATCAACCGTCTAGATAGACGGGATTGGGGGTAACGGGCAATAACTGACTCATAAGTTTTCTTCGTTGTTTCAGTATTTGCGTCTGTTATACCACTGACTAAAGCTGTATTTGCCTGTGACAAAAGCTCAAGATATAAACTATTTTCCTGATTTCGATCAATTAAGCTCCATGAACACTCAACCGCTTCCTTATACTGTCCAAGTTTCAAGTGAAGTTGAGCTGAAAACAGATAACCAGAAAGTAGCAGCCTACCCTTCATTTCCAACAAAGATATTTTATCAACTATTTCGTTGCTATATTGATTTAGATGTTCTAAGGCAGCATTTTCTTTTCCAGCTTCAAGCATGATCATTGCTTGGTAGAGTAGTAGCTCACTGTGTTCGTAATCGAACTGAGGTATTTCACTTTGACCCTTTTTGAACTCATTGATGACTGTAAGAGCGATTTCATAGTTCCCCAGCAAATGGTGAATTAAAGCATAGCCAATCCATGATGCTTTTTGGCTAGGTCGCAGTAGGAGCAACTTGTAACGTATGTCCTGACAAAAGTTTCTTAGAAGGAAAATTAATAGTATACCCTGCATCCTTCATAATCTCTCAACTGCATTTGTAAAACTGAAAGATCCCTTAGCACTTGTAAATTTTCATTATCTAACTTTAAAGCTTGCAAGTAGCACTTTATCGCTTCTTCGTACTTATGGTCAGATTTATGAATAAGACCATAAATATGCCAACCTATCGTGATAACCCAAAGCACGGGAACTTACAAACAAAGCTGGTGATGTTGGCCTTTAAACCACGCTTCACATATTCCCTTGCTTCATCTTTCTTACCAAGACAATTTAATAAAATACCTTTCATCGCCAAAGTTTCTGAAAATAAATTGATCACATCCACATTACTGGACAGAATGAACTTACCTCCATGTTCGCTAAATTTTGGATTGCTTAGGATTTGTTTAGCATACTTTAATCCATTTTTGTACTGCTTTTGGTCATAATATTTCTGTGAAACATGGATTAAGAGAAATAATATGCACTAACAACAACTCTCTTGAATATTGAGAGTTCTTTAGGAGGGAGAGTATAAGTAGATGCCTGTTTACTCATCGCCGAATATAACACATGAACTTTGGTGCCAACTCAAATTGCGAGCTAGAACATTACGCGCTTCAAAAAACACTTGTGGTCACAATGAAAAGATGATTTAGATTAAAAATATTTTGGCGAATTGTGTATAGGCAGTGAGGTGCATAATAACAACCGATTTATTCGGGTCCACCTTTAGTTATTCAGTCAGCTCAGTGTCTTTCGTTGCGTAATTAAAATGTTTCGTTACACATAGATATTATCAATTATATTCGAATTCATTCATTTTTTATCGTAAACACTTGATAGAAACTGATGAAAATATTTACAATATCATATATCCTGCTGTGGCGGCCAATAAATCCCCAAAGTCGACATTGGATGCTTACCACATTAGTTTTAATGGACTCACCTAGTTGAAGGCGCTCGGTCATGCAGTCGCACCAGATCACGAGTGAGAACGCCGAGCTCAACATCCTCTGCAGTCGCTAGCCATATTAGATCAGTCGAACCTCAATTTATTGATAGTCTATCAAATATATCTTCGAACCTCCTCGCTTCTGTTTTTTGATTTCACTTGGGGGTTATGATTCATAGTAGAAGGTGTTATTGATTAAAGCGTTGTCAAACTCCAAATATCTGCGGTACCTTCATTGCTTATACTATCATAAAACGCGTTCGTGGGAGTAACTAAATGTTCAAAATAAATTGTTCTAAATGTCTTCAACATTGGTGCTGTCCTCATTAATTAATTACCCCTTAATTTCTCGTTAGGCTCCTCTTCAGCCAAGTACTCACCTCGTGAGTCTCGACAACTGGACTACATTTCGAAATTTACTTCACACATCCAACACATTTCTGGAGCAAACAATGTAGTTGCAGACGTCTTATCTCGAATAACTTCCTTGAACAGTTTCCAGGGAATCGACCTTCTGAAACTCACCCAGCTTCAAAAAGAAGACACTGATCTTCAGCACGAGTTATCGTCTACAACCCTCAAGCTATGCATCAAACACATGGGAACAGGTAAGGAACCCTTACTTTGTGACACATCTACAGGTGTGGATCGCCCAATCGTGCCGAAATATTATCGACGCAACGTCTTCACTACGTTGCACAAACTTTCTCATCCAGGTGTTCGTGCAACCATCAAACTTATAGCAGAACGGTTTTGCTGGTCCGGCATGAATAAAGACGTGTGGGAGTGGGCACGCTCCTGTGTAAGCTGTCAGAAATCTAAGGTTATCAGACACGATAAATGTCCCTTAACCTCATTTAAAACTCCTGATGCTCGTCTCGTCCATGTTCATCTGAATTCGGTAGGACCTTTACCAGATTCAAATGGATACTCTTACCTCTTAACCTGCGTAGACCGTTTCACTCGATGGCCAGAAGCAGTACCTGTCAGGGACATCACTGCTGAAACAGTGGTCAGCGCCCTCGTCGAACGATGTGTAGCAAACTTCGGCTGCCCTTCAACCATCACTACAGACCGCGGACGACAGTTCGAATCCGAACTTTTCCGTCGTCTGACCACACTTTTTGGGATCACTCGCTTCCCAACGACCACCTACCATCCACAAGCAAACGGGCTAGTAGAACACTTTCACCCAGAACTAAAAGCTTCACTATCAGCTGCAAACATTTCACGGTGGACCGACGCTGTTCCACTCGTCTTACTAGGTATCCGCAATGCAGTGAAAGCTGACATTGGATACACTGCGGCTCAACTCGTTTATGGAACGACACTTCGACTTTCAGGAGAATTCGTGTATCCTTCATCTTCTTCAGTGAACATAGATCTAACCTACTACACGAACAGGCTTACAAAGGCAATGGGTTCAGCTAAACCTGTTTCCACTCGACCTCCATCAATTGATGTATTCGTTCAACCTGACTTACAATATAGTACACATGCCTTCGTACGTCAAGACTCGCATCGACGACCGTTCGAATCAGCATACGAAGGATCTTTCAAAGTTCTTCAACACGAATTTAAGTACTATATGGTCGATAAGAACGGAACAAACGATAGCATCAGCATCGATCGCCTCAAAGCAGCGTATTTAAAAGGAAACCCCATCTACGTCGATTTCCCTTCGGTATAGTCGCACGACACGACTCCGAAAATTATAGTACGTCATCCAACAACCTCACACACGATGATACTTCGACAGTATCTGAAAATAAACTTAAAACAACGCGTTCTGAAAGAGTAAGATTTCTAGAACATTTCAACGATTATTGCTAGTAAGGTATTAGTTGACATTTTATATCACCTCCATTTTTCTTTGCACTATATGTAATATAAAAAAACTAATATTATAATGCTTATGTATTTATATTTATATTTCAAAAAAACAACGCAAAAAACCATTTTGTAAAAGTCCTTTTTAACGCTATTACGTGTGAATGAGTTTATTTTCCTTTTTTCGCCCGCTTTCAGTTTTTACGCACGTATGAGCGTATTTCGACATGCACTTAAATATTTTTTCTTTTCCTGGACAGCTGGAAAAGGCAATAAAAAACCGATGAAGTTTATGAGTAAACGAAATTTTCATTGTACTGCAATTCCTTGTTACAATATTGTACGATACGGTCCGTTATAGTAAGGAAAAACGACCAGACGCTGCTAAACCTAACAAGATATCAGAAGAGTATTTACCAACGACAAAATCGTTGGGTTTGAACTCCTGGCTGGCCACGCCTTAGGACCATCACTATCCCACTGGGGGGGAGTGATCTGTAGCGGTAAATAAATCCCCAAAATAAATAGCTCTGTAAGTTTTCGACGTCGGATGCTGACCACATTAGTTTTAATGGACTCACCTAGCTGAAGGCGCTCGGTCATGCATTCGCACCAGATCACGAGTGGGAACGCCGAGCTCAACATCCTCTGCAGTCGCTAGCCATATTAGATCAGTCGATCCTCAAGTTATTGATAGCCTATCAAATATATCTTCGAACAAATTCATTTCTGACTTTAATTTGACTGAGTTGGCTTAAACTGATTGTAAAAGTGTTGAGTACAAAGGCGTTGTAAAACGTTGAATACCTGTAGCACCTTTATTGATTTCAACAGTTGGTTGCTCCATGTTCATTCAAAAGGAGCCTGAAAATACAGTGTTTCCCCTCACAGACATAAATGGACCTAATTCGTTGTTCTCACCTTCAATGCTCACAGTTAAGTAACCACATTCTCCTTTTTGTAATATAGCTGGGTGTTTAGGCTGGTGTTGAATTGTTGCAGCTGTTTCATGTTTAGTTTTGATCTTAGATATAGTAGTTGCACTCGATATGTTTTCGATTTACGGAGGGTGAGGGGATGGGACTTCAAGGTTTGTGATGTGGTCATCATTGTGACTGTTGCCGATGCACACACTGGGTTGGTTGGTTTGCATATTTTTGACGATTTGACATTCGATGGATTTCCAGTCATGGTTGATTCTAATCTTCTTAAGTGTTTGAATGCGCCGAAGTAATGGAATCACTAGGTATCTGTATAGCAATAAATCCTGAATATTTTGGGTGAAGTTACGTTTTATGTGACTGCTCTTAGAATTGCCAGTCATGAATGTATTCGAGTTTATACCAAAACTGTTAAGGTCGACAGGGTAGCGCATTGATGTTTTGTCAGTGGTTATTGGCTGACCTCAAACACTCATCAAATCCACAATCGGATATCCTATATAGTGCCTCACATTTTCCAAAAGATTTTCATGATAAGTGACGCTTTCGAGTGGATTGCAAGAAGTACAGTAGCTAACGTAAATTAATTTATATGACTACCAAATTTTCGGAATCAAAGGACGTTTATCCTACTTTGTTCTTCAGCGTTTCCTTCACCAACTATGACATGTTTCATCGTTACAATTCTCTACACACTGTCCTTTGTTCCCATGTTTTATCCGAAGTTTATTAATTGATAAGTTTAAGTTCAACCTGCTAATAGGCATACCTTAACCTCTCCCTCTGCAAAAATGGAAAACTAGGTTTTATCAACCAAATTTTGTCGTTAATTTCACTGCCTTTTACGCTCTTTTTCCAGCGCCACGAATGTAACAGACAAAAGTAGAATTCGGAGCAGATGTACCTTCACTAAAGTTTCAGCTTGTACGATGTGACATTTCTAAACAGATTATATCAACCGTGGACTCATAGTAAATTACTAACATATAAACCCATTTATTAATTTGCCGGCTTATCCGCATGAATATTCTATCATAAATCCTCATTGACTTCATACATTTAATAACCGTGCTTAGGTGATATCTTATCTGTAAACCAGTGTTGCGAATCGCTCATTATCCCTTTGATGATGGCATTTATCTGCTGTGTATTATTATTAATCATAACATTAGTTATATTCCTATGTACTCAAATTTACCATCCTCTTTCCAAAACCAGTGTCTTATTACTTGTCAACCTAATGGAATAACTTACTGTAACAAATACTGTGTCACCTATAATATTTCGACCTTACCTGAAACCTGTAGTTATTTTAGAATAAATTATTATTATATTTCATTATTTAACTTTGCTGAACAATAACTGGTTGAACAAATGAATTATAATACTTGTTTAGATAATAGTCTGTGTTGGAATTAATAATCTTCAATCACCCAACCACTTTCGTGTGAACTTTTACTGAGCAAGTGTGTGGGTGTCAGAGCCAACCTCCACAGTTACTCTGACTCGAAACTACATTGGCTTGGAAGCTAAAATTGTGTTAAAATGGAAATAACACTTAAAACAGTGTGTCAAGTAATTATTTGGAAGTAAAATATATCCAAGGCTGCATCGGACTGGTCTAATCTTCATTCTTTTTAAATGAATTTGAACTGTTCAGTGTGTCAATTAGTCAGTGTATACCATTATGTGTAGGTAATTATAATAGTTGAATATGATTAACAGATAGGTAGATAAACATACTTAGTGCGCTCTGTCTCTGAGATAGACATGCAACCAAACAAAGTCATGTTGGAAAGATTCTTACATAAGGCATTCTAATTAATCAGCCTATTAGGTACAAGCTAGCCAGTGGAGTTAGCTTGGTGCACTTGATAGTCATGTGCTCT